CACACACACACACAGGCACACAGACACACACACACACACACACACACACACACACACACCCCTTCTTGGGGAGGGGAGACGCCTTTCCTAACTTGAGATTCCAGGTGTCCACCTTCCCCAGACAATGAAAAGCCGAGTCTTACAGGAGTCCCACTGAATCCTGTGTTATTCTCTTTGTTTGTACTGTTGGGGGAGGGATTCTCTGAATCGCAAAGGAACGTTAAAATTTACCTGCAAGAATAAACATAAAATAGCTTCAAACTTTTTGAAAAGAACAATGGTAAGAAAGTCACAGTAAAACAGAAAGCAGCAGACTTAACAAAAAAATTAAAACACCAAACTCCAGACAGTAGAAGGCTTCCGGGACATCACAGATCCGGGAGGGAGGGGTGCAACTGATTAGTGAGGGGCCCTCGAACAACGGGTGCGTTATTCTGAAAAAATAAATTCGCAGCCTGGCCTTATACCACAAATTAAAATAAAAGATAACTAAAAAGGCTAAGCATTAAAAACGTATGACAAACAACAAACCTTCATCTGTCAAATTTCGGAACAAATTTAAAAAAAAAGGCAGCTTCAAGCACATAAAACTCAAACTCAGGCACATCAAAAACCCAGCCGAACATAATTAATTGAAAGAAGCTGAGAAAAATACAGGGAACAAACATTTATTTTTAAAAACCGGAACATCTCCTGAGCGCACAGGGAGTTTTTGCAAATTAAGATGAGCCCTGAGGCCCCCGACCGAGGCAAGAAGGAAGCAAGCGGCAGGACAGACACATGGGAGAAGGAAATGAAAATGAGTCACCAACGTGGACAGTGTTCGATCTCGCCAGTAATTAAAGAGAGAGGATACTTTCTGCTTCTTGTCCATCAAAATCAGCAAAGCTTCAAACAAGTAGGAGAAGGTGGGGGGACGGGGTACAGGAGGCGGCACACCGTAGCTAAGACCTCAAAATGCCCACGCCCTTTTGGGCAGTGATTTCACATCCGGGAACCTGTCCCACAGACAGCATCCATACCTTCACAAAAAGCTTCCAGCACAAAGATGTTCACAAAAGCATTACTTTTTATTGTGAAAAAGGAAAGCTTACCATCTAAGTTTAATTTCTAAGTGAAAAGTTTCAACTATTACCTTCTTGCTACATTTCTTTAACATATACAACTTAGGAAAAGGATGATTTTTCAGAAACCGCTACCACTCACTCAAATTAACTTTATCCGTCAATTAAAACAGTAAGCCTCCAACACTACTGGCCTCTGTTCGTTCTACCCGATGGCAGACCGTGGGCACACGTGTGTGCATGGGCGTGTGTGTGTGGGCGTGTGTGAGAGCCACATATCCTCATCACCGTCACATCACCTGTCCTTCCCACCCCATGGCAGACCGTGGGCAGACGTGTGTAAGTGTGCACGTGTGTGCGTGGGCGTGTGTGAGAGCCACATATCCTCATCACCGTCACATCACCTGTCCTTCCCACCCCATGGCAGACCGTGGGCACACGTGTGTAAGTGTGCACGTGTGTGCATGGGCATGTGTGAGAGCCGCATGTCTTCATCACCGTCACATCACCTGTCTGTCCCACCCCATGGCAGACCTGTTTTCCAGTCACCAGAGCCCTTTCCTACCTGACACCGTGATCAATGACAAAGAACCCAGAATCGGTGTTTTGAGCTAAATACCTAAGTTTTGCAGTACCTTCCACTGAGTTTCGGGATCGCCGTTTTGACGTTTTTGTTGTCAGTGACCTGGATGCTCTAGTGGAACTCTCGGTCTTAAAGAAAAGAGAAGGGAAGAGAGTTAGCTGACGCATGCACAGCAATGCCATTGGCAGATCGGTCGCTCAAGCTCTGCTGGAGGAGAACAGACGTGGAACACAAGCACAGCACCCACACGCTCAGGGGGCTGAGTCCACTCGACGCAGCCACACGTCAAGACCTAGGAGTGCGCTTGAGCAGGGAGCCGAGCCCTTCCCCTGACGTACAGACTCGCAACACCCCAGGAGGCCTAGAAAGGGCACTCTGCTGACCACGGCCTGAGCACTCTCTCACCAGACATGCTTACGAGGACTCAACCTCCACCGCTACAGATTTCATCACTTCAGTGAGTCTGCGAGCAACTGTGCAAGTAAAACACTGCCCACCATGTCTAACGGCAAGCACATCAGAGAGCTCGGCTCGTCCTACCCCACCGCCCTTCCGGGGCACAGGCCCAGTCGCACCACCTCTCCAGCGGCCACATGGTCTCCTAGCTGGCTGCTCCAGCTCCCGCTCCAACCCCTCATCTGCCTCCCCTGCAGCGCCCGGGGTAAAGTCTAACCTCCAGAGGACGGCCTTCGGGAAGGTGGCTGGCCTGGCCTCAACCGTACCCCAGCCATGGGGCATGCCTTGTGGAGCCCCACACTGGCCAGGACCTGGGCCCAGCAGAGCGTGGAGGGGTCCCTCCACCTGGCCCTCCCTTTCTCTGCCTGGTGACCCAGTCCCGGCTCAGACTCGTCCTCAGAGTCACCTGCACCTCCGCCCAAATGAGCACGCACCCTCTCTCTGCAAACCAGACATCATGCTTGTCAAATAAAGGTTCAAGTCCATCCGGGAGTCAACCGCAGAAAGCCAGAGATTAGAAACAATCCTCCTCACCAGGTGGTAACCAATGTAAATCATGACTTTTACAACAAAGCAAATACTCATCTATTGTGTACACCGACCCGCGGGCCTCTGCCTCGCAGGACCAGGCAAGGACAAGAAGCACAGCGTTTCCCACTCATCACAGCTATTTGTTTAGAGCTCTTAAAGTCGTGTCTGAAAGTTTACCTCTAGTTCAGCCTTGGAGTCTTTAAAAGATCCATCTGACGACTTTTTAGACACTTCTCCTGGGCCTGCAGACTATAAGAAAAAAAATTCTTCAAAATGTAGAATATTCAAATTTGTAACATCTAAAGTACTGTGACATCTAAAAATATATCACAACATTTGGTATAACGCTGTCCAACAGCAAGGTAATTATTCCCAAAAGAACATCGCATCACGGTGGAATGATCTGGAACAGGATGGCAGTAATGGCTGCACAATATGAAAAATGTAATCAACGTCAGTGAATTATACATGTAGAAACTGTTGAACTGGCAATGTTTTGATGTATATATTTTCACAATTAAAAAAAAGAACATCATACCACCACTACAGATTTGTCTTGCTGCTGTGTTACTGCTCCTTGGATTCCCAAAGAACCCCCCAAGCAAACGGCAGGCAGACCCCCTCCCAGCAAAGGGCAGGCTAAGGGAACAAGGACGTCAAGACACGTGCCTCTCTGGGAGCCATACAAAAGCAGAGTCTCCTGGACACACTGAATCCCGGCCATGCCAACCCCATGGGAACACATCCTCGGGAGACGCAGGGAGTGTGGAAATGAAGGACGGCATAGACGAGAGAAACTGCCAATACTCAGAAAATCGTTCCTGTGTGTGACTCCCGCTAGGAAAGCAACTTTAAAATGCAGTGGTTCTTTTTAAGCAAAGACTTCAGACTCAGAGCCAGGAGCACACTCTGAGAACATAAGTTACATGAGAACTGTACCACCGCCCGTTGCCTTCCACCAATTTTATAAGACACGTCTCAATAAAAGGAGTAAGACAGATGCATAATCACTGCAAGACTTTCCTCCATGAAGACTGAAAAGCAGAGAGGGCCTTTTCAATCTCTCAGCAGTTAGACATCCTGATAACTTAACTATGAAAGGCTCAGATTGCATCGGCCATAATTACAGACCGCTGTGTGTCGGGCACCATACCAGCTCCTCCCCTTCTCCCTCACTGCGCTCGGCTTTTCCCACTTGAAAGAAGGAGGCCCAAGGACCCACCAAAACCAAAAACCCACTGCCGTTGAGTCAATTCTGACTCATAGTGACCCTATAGGACAGAGCAGAACTGCCCCATCGGGTCTCCAAGGAATGGCTGGTGGATTCAAACTGCCGACCTTTTGGTTAGCAGCCAGAGCTCTTAACCACTGTGCCACCAAGGCTCTGAGTCTCTGCTTAGACCTCTAAAAAGAGGCAAAAGTTGGGGAGCACATGTTCTTGTTGTTTCTAAAACTCATAGGTGACACGTATCATAGGGCATGTGAGTCTAGAAGGTTCATGGGAGAGAAAGTGAGATTTTAAATAGTGAAACCCCCAGGTCCCAGTGGAACACAAAATCAATTGCTAACAAAATCCCTTTCAGGTTGTGACACAGAGATCTTGAAACAGGGTTACAGGGACCACAGGAAAGACTTGCCCACAGACCTGGCCCCAGGGTCAGTGCACAGACACGCCCCTCCCCGGTACAAGCACAGGCTGACAGTCAGCCGTTCGGGGGGCAGGAGCCAGACTCATCCTTCGGGCCTGTCCTCACACCCCGCCAGGTCACCCTGGCAGGTCTTCAGGTCTTGAGTCTTTCCAGACCTCTGCTCCTCCTTTCTAGCAGCTGGAGACCAGATGATCTCCACATTCTTACCAGAACACTAGACGGTAATGTGATGCCCCTACAAGAAAGGACGCCTGGAACGCTGTCAGGAAGAGGAGCTGCCCCGTACCACGTATGACGAGTCAGGGCCAGATCCTGCCCCGTACCACGTATGACGAGTCAGGGCCAGAT